TGGTTTGGCCTACATATTGTATGCTACAGACCTTACAGGTAATTACATTAATTATACCAGTCTTTTTGCAATTGATCATTGGGACTGCATAGGGGGACAAAGCGGGAGCCGGTGACGGAGGATTTTACCAACTCGTCCGAAAGAATCATGCGGCAGCATATGCAACTGTCACCGCAAGCATGTGTGTAAAAGCGAATGTTATCATCAGTGTCAGTAATTTTGGATATCCGTCCACATACATCATTTCGAAAAAGTCCTTTTAAGTTGTGACCACCCGGTCAGCTAAAACATCCGTGGACGGTCTACCGGATGAAATAGCTTGGTTAAGTCTGCTACTGTTGTTTGGTGACCGTAGAAGGAAGGAATGCGCCCGGCCAAAGGCGAAAACCCTTTTAGGAACCGTGCAGCTGGGCAGGACTGCTGCCTATCGGGCTACGACTAATACCCAAATTACCCCTTCAGAGCCAGGCGGCGTCAAAGTTCCCTGACTGGACACCTTTTAACCGGTAATCAGTGGAGGGCTCCCAAAACCGGTAGCGGTCGATGGGTGGGAAATTCTCTTATGTAAGATATGTATCATCTAGTTTGATAAAAGGGATGGGATGAGAAGTCAGTAAGAAATTTGAAGAGTAAATGTGTTAAATCCCAACCATGGGAACATTTACAAGAAAGTGGTATAAGCGTACGTAAGGAAATGTAGTTGACATATAATGTGGCCTGTATTGTTGCGTGCGGGAAAGATGTCCTCAATGTAACGCGCATAGGCATGTAAAGAGTAACAGGTGTATGGTATAGGTTGAAAATATAGCACGGTGAGGACCTGTAGGGGCATAATGGCAAGATTACAGTTGTAATGAACAGCACTAAAATTACTTGGCTAATGGCATGCAAACGCGCAGAATAGTGAACCAGAAAAAAGTATCGTGAAAAACAGCGTCGCAACGAACATGATGTGTTGGTGGAGATGGAAGCGACGTAAGGACGATGACAAGCTGAGGACGACGCAGCAGCCGTGTTGAATCCAACACCCAAAAGTGTGCTCATGCATTGCCAACCCTCCTTTCCCCTCTCCCTTCCATGCCCTCTGCAGTGCACATCCCTCCCGAGCCCTTCCCGCACCCCGCACATTTGCGGCAAAACCAGCAGCACGGGTCCTGCTCCCTTCCACCCACCACCCCTCCTCCCCTCCGCTCTACGTGGCCACTCGACATCCCCACTAACCACCTTCTCTCACGTACCCCCGACCCCGCGACCACCACCTTGGCTCCTTCCCTCTCACCGTTCTTCTACTACACGATCTGCGGGTCAATTTGCAAATCGTGCAGCTGCCGAGGCGAGCCGAGTTATATTTGTTGCCTAAAAAAGGGTAAAGGGAAGGTCAAAGGTTCTAAGGTACTGAAGCTTACCAGAGAGGAAAGTGTTACTCTTTCTAGGTATAATGAAGATATGTGAATGTGAATGTGCGAAAAACGGAAAAGTTAATTTATATGTGCGAATAATCAACTGTCTCATGGTTGTATCACCCTCGAGTTGTCCAAAAGTTAGTCTCCAGGAAATAAGAATGGAAAAGATGATAAATCACGATAAATCGTTTATGAAATATTGAGCAAAAAACAATTAATTCTTATGTGACAAAAAAAGTGACAAGCAACGTTGTTAGTGTTTGAGAGTTGAGCTCCACTGATTGGTACGTTCAACCCCCCTACGATTCTCTCATTCGTATCGATAGCTAATTAATATTGACGCATGTCTGGTAGTCAAAACGATTGGTTTGCTTTGCGCAGCGCTTAGAAAAGGAATTCAATTCAGGAAAGTTTCACCTAACTTGAAGGCTAAACTGTTTAATGAATTTTTGTGAACATATTGCAGGTATACTCAGAAGTCATTTGAAGTAAAAAACATGGTGCTTCCGCTGGTGTACAATTACGAACCGGTTTATAACCTTTCAGCGAATCTAAATATTATTAACAAAGTAGTGCAGCTTGTTGGAAAACCAGATGTCATCCAGTGGACAGTCAAAAATCGGCTGTGGCAATCTAGAAATTGTTTAACGAATATTTTTTACAGAGACAGTCAGTTCTATCGACTTATATAACATATGAATTAGGTTTAGTATTGCTAAAAATTCAATCTTATATTAACTGGTTCTACCAGCTTTTTTGCCTCTGTGGGCTTCGTTTTGTCTCTCAAAATTTACAGATTATTAGCTGATTTTAAAAAATATTTGTAGAAATCGGCACAAAACAAAAAAATTATCTTTTCACTTCCTTTTTAAAAAAAGAAGTATCCTTGATATCAGTACCAGAAATTCTAAATGCGTTACCGAGAGTGGATCTTTCGATTAATGATGGTTTTGTAAGAAGATGCCAATCGAATGAACTTAAACCAATTGAGCTCAGAAAAAAAAACATACATCCAATAGGAAATCGAACTCAAACCGCATTAATATATTCATTTTCCAATAAGGAACCATGTTTAATAGCGCAAATAGTTGTAAATTTGCAATTAACTTTTTTCCAAACCTCTCATCAACTGAGGAATAATTAAAACCACCAAGGTGGACTATTGCAGATGAATGGGCGCCGGTACTTAACTGTCCACCTGAATACATCGACCTGGTGAATAATACGATAGGGCCGAAATTCAACGCTCGATTCCCAATCGTTGCGGCTCGTGATAGTAGTTCGCGCATTTCACTTGTTTATGTACCTGCAAATGGAACTCTCGTTGACATCGGGCAACCAGTAAAAGTTACTGTTACTGCGTTCAGTGAAAATAACAGCTCATCACAGTGCATGTTTTGGTACACTGTGCAAGGTATGCATTTCTTGGTAAGCTTATTACGATAAATTATACCCTGCTTGGCTTCCAACAAAAAGTGTGAGGTATGACTTGAATCATTCTTTACGCTCTTGTAATGCAGTTACTGCCTCTCTGCGTCCCTTTTTTGAGTGCATTGTTTCAGCTGAAAGATATTATTCGCTCGAATGAAAATTTTTCATCACAATTTTTAGTATGCTAAACATCTTGCTCATAATACCTTAAGGAAAAATATAATTTTGTTTTAAAATCTCTAGGCTTAAAATCACTAATTTTGTTTTAAGATCACTGTGATTTAATGCCATATGCTTGCGCTGCATGGTTATTTCAAGGGGAATAGTTTTTATCTTTTAGCCAGTTTTTATTTAAAAAAGTGCCACTAAGTTATCAAGCAAACGGTGGGAAGGTAAGGGCAGATTAACCTTTTTTGGAGGGCGGGAAAGGTGGGTGGCAGGATGAAAGTGCTTGAGCTAAAAACTGCTGAAATTGAGATTTGGTAGCTACATTTAGTCTCTGAGTTAAATTCAAAGTAAAATTTGTGCTAGTTGGAATTAAAAATACTAAAGTAGTAGGAAATGTAAGGCAAAGGGGGAAAGAATGGAGAGGGTCTGGCAAAAGGAGGCTGATCGAAAATAAGGTTTTTCAGAACAATTTGCTTGATTCGTCAGACGCAATTCACATATCTTTCGCAGTTTTTTCACTGCTTCTTGCTGTAAACCCACTTCTGTCAAATTTCTGGAAGTGCTTTTGTCTGATCCTTGTAGTGCTAGAATTTTCAAAAATTTTTTAATAGTGCTGACCAATTTGCAGTAGCCGATTGTCCACTGTGGCCAATAAATGCAGTGGACTATGAATGTGCGGGTTCGTGGAGTGAGAAAACTTGTACAAGGCGACAAAAATGCCCTGGAGGCCAGTATCCAAGCCACGTTACGGCTTTACGCTGTATCGCCGGTCAAGGATGGAGATACGTTACCAGCCGTAGCACTACCGCTGTTCCCTTGAATTTGTTTCGAACGCCTATTTGCTTACGTTAGTTTCTTATTTCTTATTAGCTGTTTGCTTTCTTAATGCTGTATGTGGTATTGTGGCTTTTAATCAATTCGGCTACTCTGCTTGCACCCTATCTTCAACGCTGAACAATATTAAGGGCAAAAACAGGAAAAAGTGTATTACTCCAGCACAATTAAAGCAGTAATGAGCAAACTTTTGAAAAAAATGAAAATGCCAGCCAGGTACTTTGGTGTTTGAGTGAAAAGTCCTATAGCTAACCTGTAAATCAGTCAGGCAAACACAAATCACTTTAAAAGAGTCTGTCACATTTATCTTCTGCCACATATTCATTTTCTACTTGTTTATCCATTAGTGCTCGTTTCAGAAAGTGTTCTTAGCGGTGCTCGTATATCAGTGGCTGCCGTTGTTGACTCGGAACTGAATGAAACGTGCCAGGCTGCACTGGTCGATAAGGTCGTAGATTTATAAAAACTGGTTCTAGATGCCAAGTAGTGGTAGCATAGTCTAAAACGTGATTAATGATTGGACTTTAGGGCAGTTAACTCAAGGATACCATTAGTTTTGTCAGTATTGCTTTCCTGTGTAATTAATGGAAAGTGAAAATTCCCTCCTCAGTCACTATTTTTAAGAGGTAGAGGCCTTCAAAAATAGCCCGAACGGCTGTTTGCGTTTACAGCGATTACCTGCTAGCGAGGCTGATTCTTTCAAAAAGTAATAAGAATAGAGCAGGAAAAGGACTAGGAATAAGGTGGTGGAAACGATGAAAAGTATATCAGTAATGAGCCAGTTACGGTGGTGGTTCGAGGGTAAGAAGAAGCTAACTGCTAACTTAGAAATGGAAGAAGTTGATTAGTTTCAGAACGAGGTAGAAGGAAGGAGGAACGGAAAAACTGTAATCTATGATTTGATAGTTTGTGCTTTTAAGTACTTTGCCCGTGTTTCATCCCTAACCTGTATACACAGAGAGGGGTCATCGCTTAGAGGGAAACTGGTAGTGTCTCTGGTATGCATCAGTATTAATATGACTCGAAACGGATGAACAAGTCGTGGAGAAACTGGCCGTTCCGCTCGGGGAATCAAAACCGCGTCCACCAACATGAGTAACTCTAATGTCCCGTGCCTGCCAGTGCTTACCTTTCATAAACTTTCGACGTGTACAGGCAGAAGGAATGCACGCAATGCATGAAGATCTGGCTTGTCGCCGTTTTAAGTGGGCACTTGATGGATTGCTGCTTGAAGGAAACCATGTTTATTTCAATTATACAGTTCAACATGAGGACATCGCTGCAGTTCTGATTTGTGCTGAACAATTCACCCACCAGCTAATGCTTAAGGATTTTGCCTACAAGGCAAGCAGTTGTTCATTCTGATCAAACGCCATGCACTTCAGCCCAGACAATTGTTTCAGCTGAATACTTTTCATGCGTTTTGGCATATATGCAAATGCAAAAATTGGCCAACGCACGGGCTGCCCGTGCGAAGATGCGTTTTTTGCAG